TTTTGGGATCAAGTAGTGGTTCATGAGCAATGTTTTTGATGCCCGGTGTTAGTACCTGACGTAGCGGCCACTCCTTCTGTTAATAATGACGATCTCGCGCACGACTGTCCCATTCACAAAGTAAACAACAATATTTGGTATATCCCAGTTGCATTCCAAAGGCTATTACCTTCAAATCTACACATATGGCCCAACGTACAAGGAACTATGCAGATCCTAGCTCGGAGGTCGCAATATCTTTAAGTTGCTGCGGCTGTCCTAATAAAAAGTAACACGAAGTTGGTGTTAAAGAAGAAAATAAAAAAGAAACAGGTAAGTGGGTTAACCCTTTAACGCACGAACCGTAAAAGTTCACAAAAATCGGGCTTTTGCCTCCCTAATGGACCCTTTCACTCAGAAAAATCACAAAAAATATATCTAGCGGAAAAGTTCTGTTTTAGGGGCGGGAAAATAGTAACCCACTACCCATGTAGGGAAACGAACATCTGGCTGCGGGCAGTGGGTGATTATTTTCCCACCCTCTAATTTGTCGCTGAACGCACGTAGAATAAAAAACACATAAGTAAAAAATACTTTATTTCACGAAATTGTAAATCTTTACAAAACAGAATGAAAAGGTTCAAAACATGCTTTGCACAATGCAACATTGCAAGCAGTACAAATCATGTTACATCTCTTTTCTTTCGCGTTCGTACTGCAGTGCGCGCATCTACGATATTTCTCTTGCTACTTGGGCGTATGGTCTCCGACAAACGAATTGTATTTTAGACGGTAGAGTTATCAACTGGTTGATGTTTTTTTTCTGCCTACTCCCGCACCGGGAATACAGCCCTTGCGTTTTCTGCTGCAGAAATTACCGATCATTTCGTTGACCAATTGAGAGCGAAACTCGAGGTGAGACAAATAACGGCGACGTTGTTTTTTGGCCGAGTCCTTGTACGTATACATGACGTAACTATTTACTATCGCCATATCGATGAAAGAATAAAATAGTTTCAACCACCACCGACGAGATTTCTGGGCAATCGAGTAAGTCGACATAAGCTTAAAAGCTCTTTCAAAGTCATAGGAATATATTATATACAAGATGGGACTCAATATACTCCCTTGTGCTAGTCTTTTAGATGTTGATCGTGGTCCAATAGTCTGCTCAGAGGCTCTGATGAAAATGTTTCTATTGCTATACAGTAATAACAAATGGTTGGAAAGTTTTTTTGGAAGACTAATATTTATAATTTTACTGTATAGTATATTCAAGTCTACATTATCATAAGCTCAAAAAACGTTCAAAAATATTACAGAAGTTTGCGTGTTATTCGAAAATCCAATTTGGATACCAGTTGTTAACTTTATCAGTAATTCTTGAGTAGACCGTCCTTTTCGAAATCCGTATTGCGAGCTTGGGAGCAATTGGTTTTTCTCCAAGTAGAATTCCAACCTGTTCTTTATGAGTCTTTCGTATGTTTTCAAAACGCATGAAGCTAGTGCAATGGGACGATATGAATCTTGATGATGTTCTGGTTTTCCAGGTGTCAGAATTGGTATAATTATATAATCGTACCAATCTTTCGGTATTTCAGCATTCCCACAATATATTTGATTGAAAATATCCAATAACGTTGTTGTAGGTAATTGGTATAACATCGAATAATGAATTTGGTCCTTTCCCGGCGATGTATTGTTGTTCTGTAATTCTATCATGGTAAAAGGTTGCATCAGTTCATGGTTAGTCCACGTTCAGATTATTCTTTGGATGTTGTTACATAATTTGGGGCTAACTTACAATGAAATTCCTGTACCCACTCTGCTGAAGCTTCTATAACATGATAATTACTCTGTCGCCTATTTTTATACAAGTTAACTTGCTTCCAAATTTGTTTAAGTGGGGTGTTACTATTTAAAGATGAACAATATTGACGCCAACTTTCTCTTTTGACCTTTTTGAATATTTGTTTGGCCTTCGTGTCAAGTTTTTTAAAATTAAGTAAGTTTTCGAGGTTTGGGTTTGTCTGATATAGTCTAAAACTATCCTTACGTTTTTCTACTGCTATATTACATTCTTTGGTCCACCATGGTATTCCTTTGACATTATTTTTGTTTTCATATTTCGGAATAGAAGCTTCAGCTGACTGGTTAACAGTTTTGATGAAAGTGCTATAATCTATAACAGGTTCTACATAAGATCTATTTATACTCTCGAAACAGAACTGATTCCAGCAAGCTTTGTTTATGTTCCATTTTCTATTTGATGCAAATGACAATTTTTCTGGAGTAAAATTACAATTGATAAGTATAGGCAAATGATCTGAACTACATGGGTCTGGCAAGGTTCGCCATTCTAGCTGATGCTGAATTTGAGGTGAACATAATGTAAGATCTATTGCTGATTTTGATTGATATTTTACATAATTTGGATCTCCATTGTTAATAAAACTGAGATTACTGTCATATAGAGCTTCTAATCAGGATTTTCCCAAATACGTCATACTGAGCACAACCCCATGAAGTGTGATGTGCATTAAAATCACCTCCTATAATACATGGACTGTGTATGGAACTAAAAAATTGTATCCATTCCTGTTTAGTGATTTTGGTTTTTGGTTTAATATATACTGATACGAGTGTAATATCTGAGAGTCCTTAAAACTTTACTGTAGAACATACTTTGATTATTTTATTACAAGCGACTAATGATATTTGAGAATATTTCTCGTCAGTATAGTATCCTTTGCCATCTGACCGGTCTTGACGAATAACGTTATAACCTTTAAATTTTACATATGTATTCATTTTAAACCACGTTTCAGACAAAAGTGCGATGTCCACATTTTGTTCTTCTAAAAGGTGTTCCAAATTACCTTTATTTGCTATAGCCGATCTACAATTCCATTGACATTTCCTAAAAAAATTCATTGTGGTTTCTAAATGCATTGTATAGATTCTATTTTATGTACGAACACCTTGGTAAAAGTGTAAAATGATTAAAAATATACTGTAATTTTCTTAATTCTTAAACTTATTTGTCTATATTTAATCTTTCTCTTATGAGAGTAGTTACAGTTGATTTATTCAAGTTGTTGATGTTTGTTTCTCTAAAATTTGTAAGAACAAATATCACCAATTCTGAAACATGTTGGATGAACGTCTCATCTCTCGTATTAAATTCATGTACACAGTAACTGGGGTTATTAGTGATACGCCCGGGTACCTGTAGAGTATTTATTTGACTCACAATTTGTCTCCTAGCTTCTTCTGTCAAATCTGGCGAGGAAGGCGAGTTCCGTTTCAAAGGTTTAGACAATCTTTGTGTAAAGTGCGAATTGGCATTTGGATTATTTATTGATGTTCGAGTGTTTGATGATTGAGATGGAAGATTAGAACTATTAATTTCTTGAGGAGTAATGGGATTATTTTTTGTAACTGAAGCATAATATGTGGTTTTTGGCACCGCATTGTTTGAGTCTCTAAAAGAAGAATCAGTCATTGCCGTATGCTTTTTAAATGCCATTTGCCTCTCAAATTTATCACATTTTGAGGTTTCAAATGAGTGGTGACTGCCATCGCAAATTAAACATTTTTGTTCCAAAGAGTCGTTGCGGCATGAGCTAGTAACATGTTCTTCGTGACATTTTGCACACCTAGGCTTGCTTCTACATTGCTTACCCAAATGACCATAACGCATACAGTTATGACACATATATAATGATTTACATCAAAAAGAACGTGATTTATAACAACACGCTTAGACAATTCTTGCGCTTGAAACGTAACTACAACCTTATTTATAGGTTAATATTTAATGTCACCATTTTGATCTGATTTCCGGTGCATGCGTTCGGCCGAATCCACCGAGAAAATGCAGTGAGAATCGAAAGGTTTATTCCTCTCCAACAAATATTCGTCTGATAAGTCTTTGTCCACCGAAATAAGACCCTGTCTATATAAAATGAATTTGGGTATATAAACGTCTAAATTGATAGTTTTGAATAAAATCGTTTTATTTAACAGGACATTTGCTGCTGATGGATTTTTGAACACAATACTTACCCTATTGCGTCCAATCGATTCAATTCTTTTAATCATATTGTAACAGACCCGGTAAAAAAATAGTACCCCAAAGGGCGTTAAAGGGTTATAGGAATTCATGGAGTTAATAAGATTAATATCTGGTCCGGAGAAACATTCTACAAAATACGGTAGGTTTAAAGAAATTGCAAAAAGGGTTAGAAAATGCGGAGAAACAAGGAGATGGAATCACAGATGGAGATTGGTCAGTGCTTTGCGTCAATCAGACCGAACCACCGAAAGGATGCTAAGTGAGATTGACCAGAAAAACGAAACTAAAAATAAAAATGACGTCAAGTAGGTTCAGTCTGCACTATTTACGCCACGCATAGAAAAAAGTTAATGATGAGTATGTATAACAGAGCAATTGAATGAATCAAGGCAGTCAAATAGGCTCATATAGTTATTACCACACATATAGGTTTTTTCCCGATCTTACAAATATTTAAAGAAAATATAGAAGAAATATATAAACATGAATATTTCTTCGTAAACAACATTGAGGTTGCTGAATTATATGTAAAAAGGAACATATGTTTAGAGTTCATATGCGCAAAAAAATTACGAAAAAAAAACAAAACATGCCCTGCTGTGACCGATTAAGCCCCGATCTACGTTATAAGCAGGCTCTGTAACCACTCTTCTACTAACCGGTTGCTTGTATCTTGTGCAAGCTAGATATAATCGGGTCTTTACTTAAACGTGGTAGACCAATGACGTCTTACCCAAATAGACCCTGCAAGTGATTCAAAAGTCCGCCGTTTGTTGTGTTCGCGAACCTCAGTGGCGGGAAATACGAACTTTCATTCATAATTTTATGAAATTGGCCCCAGGCTTGGAACAGCACAACGCTCAAGGTCAACTACGGAATTCCCACCATAGGCGTCTCACAATGTGGGCCATAAAGGGCTATAAAAGCCAATAAAGTTCTCAGTATATTAGAGGTACAAAAAACGTCTTTCTTGTAGGTATAACATTATTAAGGTGACTATACGTCCCACTTTCGGACTGTGTCCTACTGTTCCTGACAAAAGCCTGGCGACATAAAAATGTCCCTCTTTTCGGTCGTGGTGTCTCCAAGAAAAAGCATGGTGACAAAAAATATCCTACTTTTTCCAAATCATACGAAATACGTACAAAAAACGACATTGTTAGCAACCCCCCCTCTCCTCCCCCGCTCTTCAAACTTCTAATCCTCGGCCATCAATGCAAAAAATGAAGTGCGTTTACACATTGTGATTAAATTTTATTATTGTAAACAAAAATAGCAAAATGTGTGCCTTTTGTGGTAGGTATTAGACCCCGATATGGAAGTAATGAGATACAGTATATACCTACTTAAAAAATGTTTATTTGATGGTTTACTAAATACTTTATATAAATAAGATTTTCTTGACATTCTTAATAGGAAATGAGTCAACAAAAAATATACCCACTTTCTCAAGCTTCCTTGCCCCTCACCCCGCGCTCTTCAACATTTAATCCAGACAATTGTTCCTACGAATTGACATACATGCACATAAACCGAAGTCCTGTACTCCCCCCACCCCCCTCTCTACGCTCTTCAGTGTGGTTCCCGGAAATTGTTCTGGCATTATCAATGGTATAAATAAAGCAAAATCCCTCCCCAATGTCAAAAGTAACTTATGTGCTATTCCAGACTATAATCTATCTCTGAACCAAATTTCATCCATATCCATTCAGCCATTTTGGCGTAACTGAGTAACAAATATACGTACATCAGTTTGTTCCATTTACACTATTATGATTAGTAGGATATGTTCCATCTGCTCCATATAAGGATTTTACCATATAATAATCTCAGTTGGCGGTGGCGGAAATCGAAGGAACAGCTGAGGGTGTCAGGTTGACATTTCGCCGCGTCATGGCCAACTGAGATTTGAGCAGTTTTGGCTGTAACTCTTGAAATAGATATTTCAAAGTTCTTTCCTGGGATAAAATGTAGCCTATGTGCTATACCAGGCTATAATCTGTGTCAAGTTTCGTCCAGATCCGTTTATCCATTCTGGCGTGATTGGGGAACAAACATACATACATCCATACTTTCGCATTTATGATACTAGTAGGATATATATATTTATATACATCAAAGTTACACAGAAAGAAAAAAAAAAGACAAACAACATTAGTAAATAATATTACAATGTAATGTTTAAATTAGACGCATAAAATTAGAAATTATATAAAATATTCACTTATACTGTCAACCGCTATTTCAAAACGACGGTGTCAATCGTAGTTTATACAAGTTTCGACAAGTCACAACATGAAATCCGCATGCACCTCCGGCGCGCTCCGCTTAACATTCATCACTTAAAAAACAATTGTGTACCTATCAGACGCGGATGAGCATCTGTGACGTTCATCCCACAAACTTGCGAAAAATTTGACGTTTCGATGTACATGTTTTGTTGAGAAATCTGTTTGAGTGTGTCAAATTATTGTGTCTCACTGTTAACAGTAATTTACTAAATTGTTGATTGAGTTCATAGATCGGCCATTGGGACTTTTTTACCACATCACAATCAAACCAACGGGAGAAATAATTTTGAGGCGACGGACTTTAAGTACCCAATATTGATTCCAAATGTATTTAAAATTACTATTATAACGTCAACCTGCCTACAAAAATATAAATCTCCCGGTGGCCAATATACTCTTGAATACATTACGTTATTAAGATAAAATAATGGGCATATAATTAGTAAGTACATGTAGGTATTTTGCTTATTTATTCATTACTTATTTGTTTTATTGTTAATGGCACCGAAAAAAAGTCTTCCGAGGATTACCTTAAGCTTCATAGAAAAAGGCGAGTTACAATTGCCTCAGTGTGTGATATGTATGAGGTCCAATCGGCTTGAAAGGCATTTGAAGCAACAACATCCTACTCTGGTTTTGAAGATGAAAAGAGTTTTTTCTTCTAAAGCAGAATCACTCGAGCGGATGAGACTGGATAAATCGGGAAGTTATCACACAGGTGTATCCCAGCATCTCAAAGCTTCATTTGAAATAGCTTTTATGATAGCAAAGCAAAAGAAACTTCATACTATCGGTGAAGAATTAATAAAACGACACACGAAGTCGTTTTTTTCCCTCTCCATCTTCGTTTCCTCAGGTTACACCTGTATCCGGATGTGTGGGCATTTGTAGTTGCATATGTGCATTCATTTCGGGCCTGAAGAAGCCAACCAGCAGAAATACGTATCGCTCGGGTTACCTATCCTATTTTCTGCTCGAATCCACTTTCCTCCTTTTTGCGGATTTTGCCCAATATGTTTATATATATTGACATCATGTTGCTTTTTATGACATTATGTAGGTTTTTCTACAAGATGTTAACGTGGCACTAGCTGATGGACACCTGTTGACATGACATCATGATGCTTCAGTTGTCAATGTTTGGCTCTGATGTGATGTAAAATCTGCAAGTTGTATACTACAGCTGGAAGGAAACGGCAGTGCTTAAGTGCATAGTGAGGATTTGTATTCTAATAATATATGTTGATGATAATTCCATTGGTTTCTTGTCTCAAATACTTGAAATTCAAAACTCTTTCTTATTCATTCTGGAAATTACATATGCAAATTTCCTGAATTTCAAAAATGAGAGAGGTAAGAAAAGAAAATCCTAGTTGGTGAAGGAACAGGTGAGAAAATATGCCTCAGACAGAAATATTTATGAAAGTGAAAAGGTTATTACATTATTTTTTATTTCCGGTCATTTAAATTTTATAGAAATAATTGCACACAACGCGGGCGCGGTGGCGATTTCCTATAATGTTCCTTAAACTTTTTGAAAACACGGAAAAAATCGTAATTTATAGCTTTGAACATAACCTTTCTTCAGAGGGATGACATATAAGTAACTCGTCGGTCACAGCTGATAGATATACTTCATTGGCAGCATATTCAGTAATAACTTACTCACATAGCAAATATCACTGATTTTGTACACATGCAGACCAATACACAAAATCATCCAGATGTGATCTTGCTACTCAACCAACTTTCTTTCTTTCACTACAGACTGTTCTGCATACTACTCGGCTCCTCAAAACATATACTTATTCTCTGCAACCAGCAATGCGTGTAGTTGAGTCATTCCTCCATAGATGGACGCTCACAGAGATCACCCGGAATGAACTACTTGCACCCTAAAGACTGCCTATTCTGAAAGATGACATTTTGTTGTTTTTTTTACGTTTTATAGGTTTCTTACACAATAGCCGTGCGCGTCAAAGAGCGTATGAATATACTTACGCCAATAAATTGAAATCTGGCCTCCCCCACCCCCTACAAATCCACACCCTACAAATTTTTTTCTAGATATGATCAAGACCCATTAAAACGTTAAAAAATAAAATTTGAGCGATTTCTATTTTTTATTTCTGAATGCCATAGCAGATTTTCTTGTTCCTTTGATGTGGGTTAGATTGACAATAAAAACGCTACAAACCTTCCTGCCGTCGCCAATGTGAAATGACTGATCGTTAGCCTTATCAAAAAGTTGAGAGAAAAACATGGTTCAAAGGCGTCATTCTATGTAAACGAGTTGTTAACTTATACGACAATTCTGAGCGTTTTTAGCAGAGATACACTTCAGAAGCATCACTTGTAAAACCGAGGCTTCTAATTGGACGCCGCGGTGAGGCGACACACAAAGGCACTGACGTAGATTAAGTTTGCACGTTAACAGTTAAAGGGATTCCTTGTTGTAGCTGAGCGTTTCGCTCGTTGTTTTCTGTAAAGAAGATTACGCTTGGGACAGGGATTAGATCGCGCGCAATTAGTTGCCACTGGTGTTTGCTCTATCCCGGTCTTGATATAGTTACGTCACATGCTTTTTGAGGAGAGGATTATTCTTTCAGAAATCATGATATGTTCTCTATATACTGGAGCAGCCAGAAAAGCTAAGCCCAACAGAAAATTTTCCAATAATCGATTACAAGATGGACCAAAGCAGGTTGTGTGTCTTTTGATTTTGAGGTGGGCCAAAGCAGGCATGGAACATTGGTGATGTATTGGAGTAATTCTTTTGGCATATTCGTGCAATTTCAGTTTGCATGCATCTGTATTATCAAAAAGTTGTTTGTTGCGAATTATAGGCCCATACTTTCCCAAATAAACGTAATAGGGCTATCACCGTCTACGGAGAGAGCTACAAATCATTGATATAAATAAAATTAAATTAATTTAATTAACTTTCTATTTCATAAACTTATGTGTCATTATTTGGTTTTCACTTTGGAAAGGCTGCCGAAGCGGCCCAAACGTCAGTAATGTAGTACATTCAACATCTCTGAAACTTAAAGCAATAATCTTCTTTATCGTAAACGTTTCGGTCACAATGCTGATATTCTTCAGTACAATGGCTTTGATAATCCGTCTTAAAGATGACACCCCGTTTGTTTTTTCTTTTCATTCTCATGTTCCTATACAGTGAAGAGGAATACATAGAAATGACAGGAAGCACACAGCTTTGACTACTCATCATTTTCAGAGTAATTACAATTTCAACTTTTACTCACTGTCTACCAATTACAGAAAATGATTCATTAGCAAATATACCTCCTCAAAAGTTCTGATACTGAACTATTGACCTTGAGAACGTTATTTGAACTGTTTCATAGTCCAAAACGACCTTGCTACTTATTTCTGTAGCCTTTGTGCAAACTTTGTAGATATAATACCTGCCTTCGACCGCCCAATAAAATTGTTTTACTACCTGCGGAATGGCCTATAAAGTGCATCGTATTGCGAATATGTGTCCCCTTAATATTTATGGCAAGAAAATTGGGAATTAAGAGATATTTTTTTATTCTAGAGACCCTGATGTTGATGCCCTCGGAAACCACATTGTACTTTTATCGTTTTTACTTCTTAGGCCTTCGGGCGAGGCAGTGTTGTAGTCGCGAAAAGTTTCAAAAATTAGATTTTGCTTTTTCGATGTGTTGCCATTAAACAAAAATAAATAAAAAACCTCATTTTTTTACATTTCAGAAGTTCTTAATCATTGCTGAAGAATTCTTGAGGGGTAAAAATTTAAGGGCGGGTATTGTTGTATTTTTTTTATGTTATTGTGTAAATACACTTCTAATGCCGGTAATCCTAAGTACCTGTTAGACATACATATTTCAAACAATATATTCTCCCCTATATTTGCCGTTAAAACTTAGAGCGAAAGAGAATATTTTCGGGGTCTGTTGTCTGGCTTCATCGTCCGGCGACCAGCCTTTATATTGGGGCGAGACGAGTTGCCAGATGGGCGGATCTACGGGTAGGACAGGGAA